TTATATTTATAATAAATATTTTCAAAAATATTGCTATTTATTTATTTTTTATTTATAAATTGGTCGTCATTAAGTTGTTGGAAAAAAATTTTGATAAATTTCTTGAATCGGAATTGCATGCGAAGCCTATATAGGGTTCGTGTGAGTTATAAAATAAACTTAACGTATGCTAAACATTCGATTTATGTTAATGAATTCATCTTTGAAAGCAACTGAATGCAACAGCAATTGGTGACCTTGGGCAATTAGAATACGAAACTATCATTCCCACATAAATCGCGCGGCTCTAACGTTCAGCAGATGGCAGAGCTCTAACGCCCATTTAAATTTCATTTTTATGCTTCAGAAACTGTGCTAGTTTTAAATGGCTACAAAACCGTATAGTTTTGTATTCCCTATTTCTTAATCAAACCAGTTGTAAACGGTTTCAAAACCGTAAAGGAAAAAAATTCCTAACCATAAACTTTATGGTTAATCGGAGGGACAGAATGCTGCCGATTATTTAACCGTAATTTCTGAATAAAACTTCTGATTCAGAAATTACGGTTCTGATGTTATTTTCTTTGATAGATTCTATTTACGTAGAGGATATTATTTTCATTAGATATTGTTTTGTGTTTCATGTTTATGACTGCCCTCTCACTTGATATTTCAATTGTTTGTAGCCAACGCAAAATATAAATTTTAGAACTTTTCTAGTTATTCACACGTTAGTGCATTATATAATATAGATATTATTTTTTAATGTTACATCATTTTCTAAAGAACTAAAAAACGTTAGTCTCATTATTTTACGTTAAATTTTCATTATTTTGGAAAGTAAAAAAAAAATATTTACTTATTACGTAATAGCCCTTCATATTGTTTTTAGTTTCATATTTTTAATACAAAAATACATGAACGACAGTGGATGCTTTCAGATAAACCATGAAGTTTCAAATTAAATTAACGCATCTGTAGCTATTTTTTTAAAAAATGCTTTAAATAATTTACAATTTCATAGAAATTGCATTAAAACAAACAGAAGATATTATTTATAAGCATTTTTAAAAGTTGCTCAAATATCTAGAATCTTTACTCAAATATCTTGTTCATTAAAAAAAAACTTTAACCATTAAATTAAACTGTTTTTGTCACATAATTAATAAAATATTCAAAAGCTTTTATAAACAACAACTTTAGCTTTCTTTGTTTACTTAGTGAAACATTTTTTCTCCAATTTTTTTCAGTATCTATAAGTAAAGCTTCCTATTAGAAGGTTTTTTCCGGGTAATTAATCAGGAAGAATTCTTTTAATCAGCTTAATTCTCTCTTCTACTGATTTTCAGTGTAATTAAAATACTTCTATGCCCTAATTCATGGGTATTTATTTTTAATTTTCAATATTTGTGTTTAAAATTACTAATAATACCTTCCAATTAATAATATTGAATATCACCTTAAATGAGTCATATCTGTTTTTAATCAGCAAATAAAATGAAATTAAAAAATATTATTAAAAGAACTACAAGTAAATTTATAAAAGATGAAATTATTCTGTTTCGTATTATTTAAATACAATAATGAAATTTTAAAAAAAATTTATTAACGAATAAGGCATAGAGTAATGTTACTTGAAATGCTCTCAAAAATCAGAAATATGCTCTCACATTGATAAAAATAAATTAAAAGATGCTCTTAAAAATTGTATATCGAAGTTATAAACTCGTATGTTGTAATAACTTAGTTTGGATTTTATTTGTGTATGTGATCAAAACTTTTAAAAATTGAAATTATTTTTTGAAAGCAAGTATTGTTCAGAAATATAAATTTTAAGTAACTAATTATGTGTGCACAAGTGACATTTATAATGAGGTACTTATAACTAAATAAATGTGATAGTACTTCTCTGAGGTAATGGCAATTATCTTTTAAGGAATTTTGCACCAAAGGACATCCTATACAGTCCTTAGACACCAGAACTCACGAAACTCATCCTCCAAAATTTTGGAAATATTAAGCGCTGATATAGACAAGACAAAAACAACAATTATTTTTGAAAAATTTTCAGTTTTTACGAAACTACTGGATACAAAAGACACTGTTAAAAATTTCTTGGACCAAATGGTTAAATAACAATTTATTTAGTTGTTATTTTACCTTATTCAAACAAAGCAGTCAAATAACCATAAAAAATGTGTTACACACAATCTGTGAAAAAATATCGTTTTTCGGCATTTTTCATCAAATACGGTTAAACAAACAGAATTTTATCTATGCCAACTAGGCGAACAATATAAAGCCTCTTAGTTCCTTACAGCTGGGTACTTACTGTAGCCGAAAGAGCTAATCTGTCAGTCCGATGACCGACTGTACGGAGGTTTGACTCCCAGCGTTGAGACCTCTTCCATTCCTTGATCAAATGAACAGTTTCTAGTGCAATACTCTTCTTTAGACTTGTAACCTTGGAATATTAGAAAACTGAACTCTCATTCAAGCATTTATGGTAGTACCACAGAGTTGCTTAACACGAGAAAAGTCTAGAATATCCTGATTTTCACTATAATGGTACCTGTCAAAAACAGAATACCATTTTCCTTTGCTAGAAAATGAACCAATAGATGGCGCCACGAGATTAAGAACTCTTTGTAAACAATAATTTTTAGTTAGTTTGATTATGTTACTGTCGTTGGAGACATCATGTTGTTTTTGTAGTGTTTACTGCTGTTAATATACATATGTTAACCATTCGAAGGAGTCTCTTATTGAGTTTGTGGTCACTCATTTAATTTTATTTAGGTACGTTCCGACCCGGGTAGAAGAACAAGGTAAGAATCTTATTATTTGATACCTGTTCTATTGAAGTAGATAAAGAAAATTGTTATCTTTTTTAACATGGCATCCCAGCCGGCACTATCGGTTCGTATTTTAATAAAATAAGAACTATTATTATAAATTTGATTTATAGTGTTATAAAAATAAATGGACACTGGAATTGAAAATACTTGGAATAATAATAGCTCTAAAATGGCCACAAACATTGAGCCCCTTAAAAAGAAACGCACTACATTAAGAACATCAGTTACTAAGCTAATTTCAAAGATAGAATCAGAAATTCAAAAAAACGAAATAACTGATGAAGAAACCGAAATTGATCTAATTATTGAACAATTAAATGATAAATTCGAGTCTCTCAAAACAGTTGATTCTGAATTAGAAAAACTGTTTAAACCAGAGGATTTAGATAAAGAATTAGAAACTGCAGAAGAATACCGTGAAAAGATAGTAACGTGGAGATTTAAAGCTAATAAATATTTGCGTAATTTGAATCAAAAGAAAACGTGAATCATGGATTATTCGGTGGAATTGAACATACTGAAATGCATCAAAAATATTGTCTAAACTTATCAAATGTTGATGGAAGCTATAATTGTGAGTTAGAGGTTTTAGATGAGAAAAAGATTTGTGCTTCCTTACCCAAAATGAATGATGCATATTGTTTAAACGAATTAAAAGATCTGGGTATTTATATTAGTGATACGATGATTAATGATAGGTCCTGTTTATATGAAAGAGATTCTGGCGAGATTCATTTGCTCATTGGAGCTGACTACGCTGGAAAGATATTGACGGGAAAAGTAAAACACCTTAAGGGAGGTTTGGTTGCTGTACACACTTTGTTAGGGTGGACAGTAATGGGTAAATCTGAGGTAGAGGGAACATCTACAACTAGCTCAATGTTAGTATTGTCATTGCATGTAAATAATGCAAAAATTGAAGATCTCTGGAATTTAGATACCTTGGGTATTAAAGATAGTAGTGAAAAACGCTCTAAAACACAGACCCAAGAACTTGCTTTGAAAAATTTCAGAGAAACGGTTAGTAGAGATAGACCGGGCAGATATACGGTTAATTTACCCTGGTTAGATGGACATCCTCCTTTACCCGATAATAAAGAGTTGGCATATAAAAGACTAAAATACACAGTTAAATCCCTTAAATCAGCGAATCTAATTATCAAGAGGTTTTTAACCAATGGGAAAAGGAAGGTATAATAGAGTAAGTTAATGAGGGTAATGATAATTCTAAAAGCTTTGGAATACATTGTTTGTCCCATAGGGCAATTTTTAAAGATAATTCAACCACTAAAGTACGTCCTGTTTCTGACGGATCAGCTAAAACCAAAAACTCCGTAAATCAATAGAATATAGAAAAGGGTCCAAATCTCATAGAAATTATCCCAGCTGTATTAAATAGGTTTAGATGGGGTAAGATCGGAGTAATATCGGATGTCAAACAGGCATTTTTAATGAATCTGATAGGGATGGTTTACGATTCATGTGGTTGAAAGACAGCGATCCTCAAAAGATAATTACGTATAGACATTGTAGAGTAGTGTTTGGAATATCATGTAGCCCCTTCTTACTTGCGGCTGTTCTGAATCATGTATTAGATCAGGTAGAAGAGCCATTGAAAAGTCTTGCAGTGAAGATCAAAGACTCTATGTATGTTGATAATTGCATTGCAAGTGTAGACTCAGTTTCAGAATTGGAACATTTTAGATCTGTATCTCAGAGAATTTTGAAAGCTGCTAAATTTGATTTACGTGGCTGGGAAAATAACTACCTACTTGAGATGAACGAATTTCTGCACGATAATTCCAACTGTGAAAAGGAAGAGTCAGTATTAGACCTAAAATGGGACAAGCAAAAGGACACTTTATCCTGTGAGCTGGTTAGAGAAAAAAAAATAGTGAACCAGTTACCAAGAGAAAAATTCTATTTGTCGCACACCAGCTGTTCGATCCTATAGGGTTCACTTGTCCTATAACGTTGGTTCCGAAACTTCTTCTACAAATTGGAATTTCTTGGGATTCAAAATTGCCCGACGAAATAATTAAAAGATTCGAAAAATGGAAAGAAGAATTAAAAGAATTGAGCAACTTCAAAATTCCTCGTAGACTTTCAAACTTAAATCTTTCTAAATCAAGCTTAACACTTCATACCTTTTGTGACGCTTCCATGGTGGCATATGCGACTTGCATCTTTTTGAGGGCGGAAAGGAATGGAAAAGTTACTTGCCAACTTATTCAAGCAAGATCTAGAGTTGCCCCATTGAAAAAAGTGTCGATACCAAGATTAGAATTACTTGCATGTAACATTGGAGCTAGATTGGCTGATACAGTAAAAAAGGATTTAAGATTGGAAGATATTGAAACATTTTTTTGGAGCGACTCCATGGACGCTCTTTATTGGATAAGGAAAGAAGGCCCTTGGACGATTTTCGTATCCAATCGAGTTGACGAAATTAGAAGACTTTCAAAAGCTAGTGACTGGAAGTTTGTTCCGGGAACCCAAAATCCAGCGGATTTGCCTTCAAGAGGTTGCACAGTTAAAACCCTATTGAAGAGACAATGGCACGAAGGAACATCTTGGCTTAAAGAATCAAGAGAAAACTGGCCTAATTTTGATCTAGTTCCTGATGAAAAAATAGTGTATGCCGAGAAGAAGAAAATCATTGTATCATCTTTAAATATGAAAGATGACGAATTTTACAACAACATATCATCCTACAAGAAAATAATCAGAATTACAGGCTGGATATATAGATTTTTTGAAAATTCCAGAGCAAGCAGTAAGAAAACAGGAAAATTATCTGTAGAAGAGCTTATTAAAGCTGAACTCAAAATCTTGAAAAGGGTTCAAGAAGACTCATTCCAAGGCGAAAAATTGAAGAGTCTGAAACTCCTGTCGATATTTACAGACGCTAATGGACTTGTGAGAATTAAAACAAAAATCATTATGCGAGAAGACAATGAAAACTTTAAAGTTCCAATTATTTTACCATCTGATCATCATGTTGTTAAGAGCCTTATTTTACACAAACACCAAGAACTTGGACATCCTGGAGTACAATCTTTAATGGTAGCTCTGAGAGAAGATTATTGGATATTAAAAGCTAGAAGAACTGTAAAAAAGGTACTGAAAACCTGCATAACTTGTCAACGATTTAATGTGAAAAGACCTGAAATACCAGAAGGAATACTCCCGGAGGACAGAGTAAAAAACGCCTCAATTTTTGAAGTTATAGGAGTGGATGTTGCTGGACCGTTGCTTACGAAGGACAACAAGAAAGTGTGGATCGCAATTTTCACCTGTGCGATTTATAGGGCAGTACACTTAGAACTATTGACATCACTTTCAACAGATAATTTCATACTTGCCTTAAGAAGATTTATCGCACGCAGAGGACGTCCGTCAATTATCTACTCCGACAATGGGACTAATTTTATTGGAACTAACAACTCTCTGAAGAATATCAACCTAGAAAGACTAAAGACAACCTTTTCTCCAATTTTATGGAGATTCCTACCTCCGACTGCTCCATGGTGGGGAGGATTTTTTGAGAGGTTAATAGGACTTTTGAAAAGAATTTTGAGGAAGGTCCTAGGTCATACATCCTTAAATTACCAGGAAATTGAAACTGTTTTGTGTGATTGTGAAAGCCAACTCAATTCAAGACCTTTAACATATGTTAGCGATGATCCCGATGATTTATGTCCTTTAACACCTGATTTATTCCTGAAAGACACTCGTACTAGTAGTACTACGGACTTGGATAGATTAAAGCTAACTGACAAGACGGAATTAAACAAAAGACTTGCGTATAGAAGAAGACTGATGACAGATTTACGAGCAAGATTCCGTAGTGAATATCTGAGTCAGCTACATCATAGACTGACAGTTCGAAAACCAACATACCATCCTAAAGTTGGAGATATCATCTTGATTTGGAATGATAATCTCAAAAGAATACATTGGCCCTTGGGAAGAATACTCTCAGTTTACACAAGTAAAGATGGACTGATCAGAAGAGCCAAAGTTAAGACCAAATCCGGAATTCTGATCAGACCAATTCAAAATCTCTGCCCATTAGAACTGGACGAGGAGAATCTCAACAGCGAAGATCAGCTGCCAGAGACTTTCAAATTTGAGCCAGAAAGAACATCATCGGACATTCCTGATTCAGTTCCTACTACTACCAGAGTTGGACGTGTTGTTCGCCCACCATCCAGATTTGGACAATGAAGTATTGAGATTCGGTTCAACATGCCCCGAAACTCAAAAAGGGGAGTGTCTAAAACAGAATACCATTTTCCTTTGCTAGAAAATGAACCAATAGATGGCGCCACGAGATTAAGAACTCTTTAAAAACAATAGTTTTTAGTTAGTTTGATTATGTTACTGTCGTTGGAGACATCATGTTGTTTTTGTAGTGTTTACTGCTGTTAATATACATATGTTAACCATTCGAAGGAGTCTATTATTGAGTTCGTGGTCACTCATTTGATTTTATTTAGGTACGTTCCGACCCGGGTAGAAGAACAAGGTAAGAATCTTATTATTTGATACCTGTTCTATTGAAATAGATAAAGAAAATTGTTATCTTTTTTAACAGTACCACCAGAAAAACTAAGCTACATTCCAAGGTTCTTTCGGCAAAATACAACTCAACCACTTCTTAACTCCAATGTTCAGTGCCAAACGAAAAGTCTGTCACAACCTAACTCCTATGTCTACTTAAAATTCATTCTTACTGTTTCTTAACCATGACAGTTGTTAACAGTTTTAAAACCGTAAAGGTAAGAAATGTTCCTAACCTTAAACTTTACGGTTAATCAGATGGACTGACAGCTACCGGATTTTTACCATGATTTTAGATAGAATATACTAACTTTGTATCTTGTATATGTATAGATGTCACACAAAAAAAAAATCCAGCATCTATGCATATAATAGAAATTTTAAAAGAAAAAACAAAATCCTCTTTTTGTAAGATTTCATAAATCCACTATCCAGTAATTAAAGTAAATGACAAGTAGTCAATTTAAGAAGGAAAATCGTGTTTTACGAATACGAACTATCTAAAACAAATAAGTAAATAGTAATAAATTAAGAGTGTTTAAAATAGCTGTTGTGTATTTGCAAATAAAATGCAAGATAGAAAATTGTATTAGAAAGCAAATTTAACCGAGTAATACTGTATCGCATACAAAATTTAGAATGAAACGAAATTTTAAAAAAGTTTTTCAATATTATGCTAAGGCTATAGCCTTAGTATAATATTGAAAAATATATATATATATAAAATATATGAACTATATACATATAAAACTCATATAAAAAATCAGGCCAACGGTAGCCCAGTGGCCCAGTTAAAGAATTGGTGTTACATTTTGCGAAAGAGACCTCTTTATAACATAAGAGGCGAAATTCATTGGTTAAAGACAATACAAATTCATACTCAAATCTTAATCATCAACAGACAACAACCATCTTTTTTTCTGAAATTTCATTATTCTGCTGCCAAATACAGATGGTTATTTATTGAGTAGATCAGGGGTCGCCAAACTTTTTTAATCATCGACCCCTATATAATTTTTTGAAATCTCCATCGACCCCCACAAAAGTAATTTTCTGTTAATTAAAATAAAACTCTATTAGATACTGTGTTTGTATATTTATTTTATGATTTTAAACATTTATTAAAGTAATAGTACATTGTGTAACAATAGTTTTATGAAAAATATATTAACATTGAAATTTAAATACCTTATTACTAAATAGTAAGTAATTATGCATAAGTAGATATAATAAGTAAAGTAACTAAAGATTTACTGCTTCTTGATCAATGAGATGGGTGTGTCTGGTGTTCTTTTGAAAGGTTCGCTATATTTGGTTCAAAATTGGTCCATTTTAATTTTCGTCAAAATTGGTCAATTTTATAACTTTCGTAAAAAAGTACAAGGTGTGCTATAATTTTGTCGCGGGCTGTACTAATCCATATTATTAATCCTTTCTTTCTTTTTTATGCATTGATAATTAAAATTGATATCTAAACTACACGAATGGTTTTATTGAAACAATAACTAATTATCCAAAACTATAAAAGTTTTAATAATGACACTGCAAATATTCAACACAGTTTTCAAAGATAGCTGTAACTGCGTATGATATTTGCATTTGTAACGTCAATGCTCGTCACACGTGACATTTGGACAAGCGCACATATGCATATGACTTATAAACTGCGCTGAGTTCGTGCCACTGCGCGGTGGTACGTAAATACTTGTTTCACCCCAATAAATATACGTTTATTAATTTATGTTTTATAAAGAAACTGATATTGAGTCAATTATAAAAGAAATTCACAAATTTTACATACTTAATTAGGCATGTGTGATTTGCGCATTGAGAACTGTTTTTTTTTTCGACCCACAATCGACCCTTCCGATTCGGATCGACCCCCATTCGCCCCCTGTCTCGGATCGACCCCCGCTTTTGTTAAATAGACCCCTGGGGGTCTATATAGACCACTTTGGCGACCTCTGGAGTAGATAATCATAACGAGTACGATTAAACGATATCTTATCGATTTACAACAACAATTGGACTCCGGTCCGGAAGGGCCGGGGTTAAATCCTTGACGCCACTAAGACCCATCAATTACATGCGATATATGTGCTCGTACAATCTATAGAATCGAAAGTCCTGTGGTCGAATTGTTCTTTGAGAAGTAACATGGGTATGAGGATTTTGAGAAAATTTCCTTCCTCTTCAGATCTATGTCTAAATTGAGGAAGTGACCTCACGAATGAGTGGTACTTCTATACGTAGGGTTCTGAGTTAAGACATACTTTCACCCTTGTGATGCTCTCTTATAAAGCAAAATGCGCAACTTCCTGACTTAACTCGGAAAAGGATAATGGATGGCGAGCATAACTTGTCCAAATGTTATTAGAAGCAACAACAAAAAATTTTATTTTGCGGATATCAACGCTTTATAAAATATTGCGCAGTTAGTATTGCAAGCTTAAATGTGATTAAAATAAATGCTGCTGATATACTTTTCAATTGCAACTAAAATAATACTTTTAAAAGTGTCCCAAATATACTTGCTTTATTTCCAAACAACTTTTCAGTATTTCCATATATTCGTTTGTAAAAAACTTAGAGAGAAGGATCTTAATCCAAATAAATGCAGTTATGAAATTTAAGAAAATAAAACACTTTTCCTATGAATAATAAAACTATTAAAAATATCATTCCTTAAAAGTTAACTCATTAAAAGTATTAAAAAACTGCTCAATTTGATAGTTAAATATGATTTTTTTTTTTTTAAAAAAAAAGACTTAATCAAATCGATGCAGATAAATTTAATTAATGTTGAAGAAAATTTCTAACATTTATAATTGGAATATGAACACATAGATAGATATTATAAAGTCTTGATATTATGAAATACATTTGTAAATTTGAGAAATTTTCGGAAAGATTACTGAAATTTAAAAGAAGTTTTCATCAAATTTTTTAATATTTAAATGCTAATCAGATTCTGATGGATCAAGAAACTAAACAATTTAGCAAACTTGAAAATGCAATTAGTGTACATAGATCAAAATCTAATAAAATACTTAGTATAAGGAAAAAAATTCCGGAAGCTTCGAAAATTAAAAATGAAAGTCTTAAAACTAAAAGGCTTTAATTATATTATGAAGTAATCTCTTGATATGGCTTTATTATACACCATTTTATGATAAAGATATGTAATTACAGTTACCTAACAATTTTTCGTTAAATAAGATAACATTTTACGGTACTTTGCTTTTTAATACGTTGCATTTAGCTTGTAATATAATTTTTAAATAACTGTGTTCAATTGACGATTGAAATTAAAATAATGCATACAGAAGAACTGTTTAAAACTCTAACGTAATGTAAAAGTTTCGCCTTTTTGCCAAATAATCTCTTTAGAGAAATATTACCGAGTTTCTTCAGCAACCAAATGTGAAATAAGTACTTACAAAAACAAGTAAATACATAAAGTTACAATGATAACACTCTGTAACAAAAAAATCGACGCACCAAGAAAGAGTTGTCCGATTGAAACGAAAATTGGTGGACTGGAAGACAATGTACAGAATACTAAATGATTAAAATTTCAGAACAATTGAATAATTTATTGCAGAGTTACAGTAACAAGTTCAATAAGGTGTTGACCCGACTCTAGACTGGATACAAGCTGCCACACGGCGTAGCATAGACCGGTAAAGCTCCCGGATGGTCTCTTGCGGTATTTCCTGCCAAATTCGATCCAATTGTCGAACGAGGTCATCAACATTCCGTGCCAGATGCAATCGCCTTCCCATTATATCCCAGACATGCTCGATGGGAGAGAGATATGGTGATCTGGCAGGCCAAGGAAGAGTTTGACAAGCTTGCAGACAGTTCATAGCAACACGTGCTATTATGGTCCGGCATTGCCCTGCTGGAAAACCAACCCAGGGTGCTGCAAAAGGAACGGTAGCAAAACAGGTCTTAGGATGTCGTCGACGTACCGCTGTGCAGTATGTGTACCTCTAATGACGACCAAAGGGGTCCGGCTGTCAAAGGAAATGGCACCCCAGACCATAATGTCTTGTTGAGGGCCGTTGTGGCGTGCAATAGTGAGAGCAGGATCCCCCCCTCTGCCCTGTGCGTCTCCAAACACGTCTTTGGTGATCGTCAGGACACAGTTGGAAGGGGGATTCGTCGCTAAAGACTATACGCCCCCAGTCGGCATCATTCCAGCCTGATCGAGCCATGCACCACTGTAATCTGGCACCAAGAAGCAATCGGATGATTGCTTCTTGGTGCGTCGATTTTTTTGTTATAGAGTGTATATTAAATTTATAAATCCTAACTAAATGAGGAACTTAATCTGTGTTAAAACAATAAAAAGTTTTGGGATCCTCTAATGGAATGATTGTTAATTTCTATTCAACACTCCGTTTATTGTCAGGCACAAAGCAAAACAATCGCGAGAAAGAAACAGGGGTCAAGCGTCTTGTTCTATAATAAAACTAGGATGTAGATTACGTTTAAATCTCAACGATTTTGAGCAATTTCAACTCGACACAAACTGTTTAAATTCTTAAAATATGTAATTTTCTTAAGTAAAAAATACTCAACTCAGCAAAAAAGTCACATACACTTATTTAATTTTTTTTTCTTTCCTTTTATAACTCGTCATATGCTCATGTCTTTTA